GGTTTACTCACAACATAGGCTCCCAAGTCCTGAGTAGGACTTATTTACTTAGGGCAAGAGTACAGAATATCAGAAGTAAAGAAAAGTTGTTCACAATCCAAGTCTCCAAAATATAGATACAGGCATGTTCAAAATGTTGTTAGTATTTTGATAATGATTCTCAGTTAAGCCCTTATAAATAGATTGATCTCATGTGTATTTATTTATACCAAGCCCATAAAATTCTGAAGCTTTATCTTTTCAGGTTGTACCACTTGTGGTTCCTCTATTCCTTTCTTCTGTTGGTGGATGTATCATGTCTTTTTGGCTTGTTTTTGTTTGTTTGTTTTGTTTTTTGTTTTCTCTTTTTCTGTATGCTTCCTTTGTGATTCTGGAACTTTCCTTTAGGATATCTTGTTACATGAAGCCATTAGAGTCTGTTAAAGGATCTCAAGAATATTGAGGTAAACTCTGAACACAGCAGAGAAGAGACAACTCATGAATAGACTACTGTGGGATTTCAATCCATTTAGCAAATGACAGTTTTTTTGCATATTATAATATAAAGCATGTTACAGGTATACCACACAATCCTATAGGACAAGTGGTTGTAGAAAGATCTAAATTTCCCTAACAGTGAAATGGATCTGTTGTTGCCTCCCCTAAATAGTCCTGTGGCTCTCAGAACCATCAGAGAGTATTTTGCTGTCTTGTTCTTTAATTTTCCATGTTGACATTATGGCTATATGGGCATTGAGTCTAACTCTGAAGATCTTGGCCCTGGTATTTAATGAGATGTGATTGTCTTCTTGGGTTGACATATTGCTTTAAGTCAAAGCTGAGGCTGCCGAAGCAGCTTTCCTAGGCTTCTGTCATGAATGATCCATTATCAGCATCTTCCCTTCATGGTTAGAATCTTATAGGTTTTACTACTTTACTACTAGAGCAGATGAGAGTTTGCATCCACATATTTTTGATTTCAGGAAATAATAGGGTTTTGGCTCAGATGACCAATTTATGCGTCTGCTCTATTCTGATCCACAGAAATATATTCATATTATTTTAATACTGTTTTGTTTATCGTTATCTTTAGCTACAATCTATATTGAGTAAAGTAGTAAGGTAAAACACTAATTTACGGTACCACTTTAATTGGATATTTTATAGGTCAGCACAATCCAATTTTAATAAGAAGATTCGAGAAATATATTAAATGTTCCTGATTAGAGTAGGAAAAAAAACTTGTTTTGTTTTGTTTTTTTTTGATTTGCAGTATATGGGGCACATTAAGTGGAGTAACTGTGGATTTCAAATGCACTGTGAAAGAGTAAAACCAAACATAGTTCTGAGACACACAGAAGGCAAGGACAGGGAAAAAAGAGTTCTAGTTATAGACTATTCTTAATGGAATATAGACGAACAGACCAACAAGATAAATCATTTTAATTACACTTTTGATGATGCAGAAGTGGCTATTCTTGTGATATATTTAATAAGATACCCACTTATAGGATTTATAATACCTTAATAATTATTCATTTATTCAATTATTTACAGAGAAATCAGGCACTGGGGAAATGTCTGTAGATCTACAAAGATGACACCAGATAACAATCTAAGCAACAGAGGAGAGGCTACCTTAAATGCCCTCCCCTGATAATGATGTTGATGACTGACTTATATGCCACCCAATAGCCCTCATTCAGAAGCTGGTGGAAGTAGAAGCAGACACCCACAACTAATCACTGAATTGAACTGGAATCCAGTTGCAGCGAAGGACAAGTGAAGAGCAAAGGGGTCCAGCCCAGGCTGGTGAAACCCACAGAAACAGCTGACCTGGACATCGGGGAACTCTTGCTCCCCAGACTGATAGCTGGGATACCAGCATGGGACTGATCCAGACCCCAGGAACATGGGTTTCAGTGAGGAGACCTCGGAAATCTATGGGACCTCCTGTAGTAGTTCAGTACTTATCCCTAGCATAGGTGTGGACTTTGGGAGCCCATTCCACATAGAGGAATACTCCCTGAGCCAAGACACACGGGGGTGGGCCTAGGCCCTATCAGAAAGGATACGATAGAGTCTGATGACACCCTATGAAAGGCCTCACCATCCAGGGGGAGCAGAAAGGATATGTGATAGGTAGGGTTTTAGTTGGGGGGGGGCATGGTAGGGGAGGATGGGAGGGAGAGGGAACTGGGATTGACATGTAAAACAATCTTGTTTCTAATTCAAATAAAAAAATCTGAAAAAAAAAAAAAGAATATCAACCATGTTCTTGCTTATCCAATCAGTACTCTGAAAGGCACCGGGGATACATAAATGAATCTGGACTATTCCTTGTTCTTAAGTAATGATTTATATAAAGTTAACCACACAAAGCTAAACAAACCACAGACACATTCTATAACAAGGGCTGTAGTTACTACACAAATGAGGACAATCAAGGCACAGGGAAAGCGTGATTCCCATTGGCAGTGATGCTGCAAAGAGGTGGTCACAGAGTTTCACAGATAAAGTGTGATGGTAAAGGAATTCAGGCTTTCTAGAAGGGAATGGGGTGAGACTAAGAGAAACACCACTTTAAACTGGATTTGGCCTTATTTTAGGAGTTAGTGAAGATTCTGGGAATGTGATAAACCATGGTCTACCTCTTTATCTCATTCATTCAGAAGTCCCCATCGCCTTTAGCAGGGTTCCTTACAGGGCAAAAAAAAAAAAAAAAAAAAAAAAAAAAAAAAAAAAAAAAAACAAAATAAAAACAAAAACAAAACAAAACAAAACAAAAAAAGCTGTATCTCACAATTTTATGAAAAAGTAAGTAGGTTGGCATGGTCAGGATGTAGGACGGACAGTACCCATTTATGGGTGAGCAATGGACTATGGGGACTCTTGTAGACTCCAAAGACAGGACTTTTGTTCTGGGCACTGAGAAAACTCAACCTCAAAGATGGAAAGAGAAGATATTTGCTTCATAGTTGTGAAGTACAGGTACCCGAGTATTAAAATGCAGAAATAAAAAATGAGACTATATTAAGAAAAATTGATAAGGAAGATGAAAAGAACCAAGGCACGAGGCAGTAACTATTTAGACTGGATTATCATTAGAAGAGGGGAATCAGGAGCCTGGAGGTGATGGCGCACGCCTGTAATCTCAGCACTCAGGAGGCAGAGGCAGGTGGAGCTCCGTGAATTTGAGTCTGCTCTCCAAAGCAAGTTCCTGAACAGCCAGAGCTGTTACACAGAGAAACCCTGTCTCAAAGACCAAAAGCAAACAAAGAAACAAGAATAGTAGGGTAATCAGAAAGCCATCCATGTTTGGCTTTAGAAAGGCTATATAAAGCCATGCTTTTGTTACTATTTCCTTGTAGAGTGGATTCCCTAGGTGAGATACAGCTGTGGTGGTACATTTACCATCATGTTCAGTGTGCGAGGGATCTGCATTCCACCACCAGAGCATGGCCTTGGTGATAGGACAAAGCTAAGAAGTACAGGACAGGTCTTTAAAGGGTGAGCTGGCTCTGTTAGGGATTCATATTATTACCATGGATAAAACAGACTGATACACGGGCACGTTTTGTTTTCTTTAGAGACAGGGTCCCTACATAGCCCTGGCTAGCCTCGAACTCACTTTGTAGACTAGGAGGGCCTTGAACTCAAAGAGATCTACCTACCTCTGCCTCTCAAGTGCTGCGATTAAAGCCACAGGCCACCACACCTAACAACACTTGCACTTTTACATTGTGACTAAACAGAAGACAGTTGATTAAAAAAACAAAACAAGAACCTCTTTTCCCCCTCTAAAATATAATGGGTATTTTACTACAATGAATCACAAGTTAAGTGAAAACATTCCAGGAACTCAGAAAAAGTAGGGCTTCTACATCAAACATTACTTTTGTATTGATAAATTTAAGGTCACTCATGACTACAAATACTTCTCTATACACATTATCATGGTAAATGAGAGATGGGAGAAGAGCTGGCAAGATACCAGATGCTACAGTTCTCATGAATAAACACACGAGAGTGCTCTTCTTAGTAGTTCATAAACTAGGTTTTTGCACTCTGATACAGGTTAGGGGCTAGAAAGCTATCTCTTGTCTCAAATCTCTTAAGTGACAATAGCTACAGAACCCTTGATAATGTGTCACACATAATTTCAGGGGCCTCCTGTATGGTATCCTGCTTAAATTCTGACAAGTGTTTAAATTGTGATTAATTACTCCAAGATGGCTACACATTTGACATTAGATTTTTCAGAAGCTTAGGAAAGATCACTGACCCAAGAGATGTCCCTTCCAGTTCAAAAGTCTCCCCTCAATCTGTTGGGGTACCTCCTGCCCCAGTTCTATCTGTAAGTGTGTGGTTACTGTTCCTAGTTAAGGAAATTCCTAGGGAACTATTCTAAGGACAAGAAAAAGAGAACCCAATGGTAAATCCTGTGCTGAGCAAGACTCAAAGGGAAAAAATGAGCCACACTAGAAGCCAATGTGCGCTGGAAAGAGTTGCACTCTTAAGTAACAGACATGTGTAGCCACTTAGGAGGCTGTTTGATTACACATGTTTTTAAGCGCCTGTCAACATGATCAGAAAGCCGGCCACATGCAAAATCCCATGCTCATGAGTACCATGGAGGCTGGCCTGACTCTGAAGTCTCAGGACCGGCAGGAAGTGAAATGACTTCACAGGTTGAATGCAGGTTGTTATTGCCTAACTTGGGGAAAGCCTGAGAAGCGATTCCCGAAGCCAGTGACTCACTGGCCTGGATGGTGACACCTTAAGGGAAACTGGAAACAGCAATAAAACCAACAGGATGAGAGCTGCCAGGAAGAAGCAAGCACTAGACACCAGAGCTTAGTGTAACTCAAGGCTTCAGTGCTGAGAGCTGCACCTAATTTCAACTTTCTCTTTCATTTAAAAACAAAACAACAAGAAGCCCAGAAGACAAAAAACTCCATGGCATTTCCCCTCCTTGAGGAGTTCCCAATTCTCAAATGCAAAAATAGTTGTTTCCTAACCTGCTGCGTTTGTTCGTCCTCTGAAGATGTCGTCATAACCTTTCCACTGTGGCTTTAGCTGATAGGCATGAATGAACACCACAAATACCACCACGAGGCACATGAGAGGGATGAGAGCAGCCGTGAACAGAGCAGCATAGATGTTTGGAATGAAGCATCTGGAAGAGAGGAAGCAAGCAGTAACTCAGACAAGACCAAGATACATATTCATACTTCATCCTCTCGTCGCTTTGCACTTGCTCTTTGAATGTAGATGCTGTAGAAAGTAAACTTTGTCTTAACAAAGTAAAGCAGTTGTAGAGCAGAGGACACATCACTGAGGAGGTTCTCTGGTGAGTTCATCTCTTGGGAAAATTAGAAAGTTTTCAAATGAGTTTGCCAAATGAATGTGACATTTGCATCCTGTATATTTAACAGATCTGGAGTGTATGTGTGTCATTTTAAAGGATGTGTGGGAAGGCATAGATAAATAGATAGCATCTGTGTACCTGGACTTCAGAAGTAGAGTGCTACTGAAGTCTATCACTACATTTTCAATAACAGTCTTTAGAATATTCAGTCTTTCTATGCCTTAATTTATCTTTAAAATAAAAATTACAATAGGATCCACAATAGAAGTCAGTTATGAAAATTAACTGAGTTGGTTTGTTACACAACTAGAAAAAGATTTCTTCAACCACTTTTCCTAGACTTAGGAAACATTTATCTTGCTTTCCCTAGCTCCATCTTCCTGAGGAGCATGCTGGGATATGAGGCCTGGAGGTGGGGAGGTGGCTCAGGTGGCAAAGTGCTTTCTATGAATGCATGAAGACCTGTCCTTGCTCCTCAGCACACAAATAAAGGCTATGTATGGTGGCATGTGCTTATAATCCCAGTTCTGGAGAGAAGGAGACAGGCAGATCTCTAGGGCTTTTTGGCCAGCCAGCCTAGCCTAAACAACAAGCTGCAAGTCAATAGGAGCCCCTGTCTCAAAAGGGAGATGGCCTTGAAGAACACTCAGGATGGCCACTGGTTTTCACATATGCACACTCACACACGACTTCCCACAAATCTGAGGGCTCTCTACCCTGGCATTGATACTATCTTGGTTTTAGACAGTTTTGTCATTTCTCAGTTGTACTTGTGCCACAGTTTCCTGTGAGATGAAAACCTTTCATCTTAGAGGAAAATGTCTTAAGACATTAAGAATGTGTCTCTTTTATTTTTCCCAACTTCCTTTGTTTTTTGATGCATAACAATTTGTAACTGTGTGTTATATTATAGCCATAGTAAACTCTGAAGAAAAGTCAAGGAAAAATACATTTAGAAGGAAATCTCAAAATACAAAATCTGGAGATAGTTGGCTAAACACTCATTCTTACAACCGGAGAAAAGAGTGTCTCTATCAAAACTTTAAATGAAGAGGCTGGGGAGGTGGTTCAGCAGTTGGAAGGATGTACCTTGCTTATAGAAGATCCAAGTTTGGTCACCAGAATCCTCACTGGGCTGCCTGCAACCACCTGTAACACTAGCTCAAGAGGATATAATGTCCTCTTTTGATATGTTTAGACACCTATACTGTTTGTTGTTGTTGTTGTTGCTGCTTGTTTTTTTTTAACAACTTGACACTAGCAATAGTTATTTGAGAAGAGGAACTTGAAATGAGAAAATGCCTCTGCATCAGAATGTTTAGCCCTTCTATGCCTTCATTTATCATCTTTAAAATAAAAATTACAATGGGAACCACTATAGAAGTCAGTTATGAAAATTAACTGAATTAGTTTATCACACACTATTTGCCCATCATAGGCAAGTATGTGGGGCATTTTCTTGGTTAATGACTAATATGGATTGTGCCACCCCTTCGGGAGGTTGTTCCTGGGTTGTTGAAGAAAGCTGCCACACAAGCCCTGGGAGCAAGCCAGTGAACTCATTCTTCCATGGTCTCTGCTCCAGTTCCTGCATCTAGGTTCTTGCCTTGATTTCTTTCCTGAGTTCCATTCGTGAAGGGATGTAGTCCATAAGTGAAATAAACCCTTTACTCCCCAAGTTGCTTTGGCTCTTGGTATTTTATCACAGAAATAGAAGTCAAACTAAAATACCCTCCCCCCACAATACAGACACACATACACATACATAATAAAAAATAAAAATATATCTTTAAAATAAATAATAATAGAGTTTAAACTAAGCTACATTGTTAAGGGCCTTACTCAAGTGAGGCAAGTGCGTGTTTTTGCTGAAGGGAGTTGGATACTGTGCCAACTGGACATGAGTGTGCAAAGGGAATGGTCTGGAAGTACTGCAGACCTCAGGTAGAGTGGACAGCAGGAAGAGTTGCTAATCATGTCCTTAAAAGTCTCAGCCCACAGTGACTGTGTGGTGGGTACTGTCAGAGGCCACCATTCATGACAGGTCATGTGTGACCCAATTCTGAAGACACAGAAAGGGAAAGCTTTAGGATCATGTGCTTGTTTGACCAGCTATCTGAATGAACCATCATAACAGAGTCACACGAGGAAGGAAACCAGCAAAGTAAATGTCTCAGAGCAGTGGTACTTGCTCAAGTCATTTCTCCTCCTGGGAAGGGCTATAGACACTCCCAGTGACCTCTGGCCTTCTGGTCCACTTTGCCTGTGGACCAATGAAGTAAGATGTTCGCTGCTATCTAGGGATCATTTTTAAGGATTAAGAAATTCTTATGAATCAGTACTTATCCCTAGCATAGGTGTGGACTTTGGGAGCCCATTCCACATAGAGGGATACTCCCTGAGCCAAGACACACGGGAGTGGGCCTAGTCCCTATTCCAAAGGATATCACAGACTCTGATGACCCCCTATGGAAGGGCTCACCCTCCCTGGGGAGCAGAAAGGATATGTGATAAGTAGGGTGTTAGTTGGGGGGGGTAGCAGTGGAGGAGGGGAGGGAGGGGGAACTGGGATTGACATGTAAAACAATCTTGTTTCTAATTCAACTAAAAAATCTGCAAAAAAAAAGAGAAATTCTTATGAAATTCTGCAAAATCAGAGCTAAGCCTGTCTGTTCGCTGCTACAGGGGAGAGTGGGTGTTGGACTACATTCCCTATCTACCAATGGCATCACATTCTGTAGGATATATGCCTAGCTCAAACCACAATAGATTCAATAATTATTCCTAAGTTCATCTGTGATGACATTTCTCAAGTAAAATAATAAGGCAATGAAACCCATGTTTATGGTGTCTTTCATCAGTATATGAATTCTACATCTGTGATAATATCGTTCAATTGAAAGCCAGTTGCTAGTTGTTGGAAGCCCATGTTAAAAAAAAAAAAAAACCCAAAAGACAACAAAACCCTGTTTTTTAGTATGGAAATGTGTTCAATATCAAACCATTAATGTTTGCTTGTTTTATTTAATCATTGGTCTTTGGCCTAGATGAAATAGGTGTGACTGCATAAAACAAGGTGCAAAGGATATTGGCTTTGTGTCATCCAAATGAAATTCATCATTCTGACCTCCTCTTGTGAATGCAGTGTGTTCTGAAACATATCTTAAGATGTTTCTTGTTTACATCCATTTAGTGGTTTATGAGTAAGGCCCTTAACGATGTCAGCTTACTTTAAACTATTATTATTTATTTTAAAGATTTACTTTTATTTTTAATTATGTATGTGTATGGACTAGGGAGTCCAGCAATACTTCCAACACACAAAAATTTGCAAGTGAAGCAGGGTATAAGATAATAGCATGGCAGATGACAGACAGAACTTGCCACTCATGTCATTCAGCCTGTGGGAAGAGGCTGGCAAAGTCTAAGTCACTGTACATCCCAAATTATAACATAGTCCTAATTTCTTGTTTTAAAGTCTCATTTCACTTGTTAAAAATAAGCATTTTTCTAATTTTCTGTGCAGCATTATGTGAATGGGTTTTTTTTTGCCACACTATAAGGAAATTTATAAAATATATTTTAAAGGGCCAAAGATAAACTAACTATATCTCACCCTTTCAGAAAACAGTTCTGCCAATCAGAATTACTTCCACTCTAACAAAATAAGAACTAAACATGGTAGCTCTGAGTATTTGGTCACATCAAAGTGATATGGGGCAGTAGGACATGTGTGAGTGTCACGGCAGAATACTGTCCGAACTAAGCCAGGATCAGCTTCTGGAAAGAGTAGAATGGGAGGGTAAAGAGACCGAGAGCCCTGCATACATCAGGGCAGCTGCACCCTGTGCACATCAGGGCAGCTGATTAACACGATGGCAGCTACTTCGTTAATAGACCTGTTAGAACCTGGGAAATTAGATGAAGGCCATGTGGGCTTGCTTCCTTAAATTGGGCAAGCAATGCTTATTTTTTTAGAATTCCCAGCTCACTAGCTTCAAAGGACTTTGGTGGCCCTCCCTCTCAGGGCACTGGACACTCTTCTAGGTTCTAGGTTTTTACAATCACTTTACTGTTTTGCATTCCATTTTAAACTTCCATAGTTTTCCCTCTCGTTATTAGAGAGTGGTAGTGTTTCTTATCAGGACACCAGATGAAACAAGTACCATACACTCTGCTATTTTCAGATTCTCATCTTCCAAGGGCCCCCTCATCATTCACAAAGCCTGAGATCACTTTCTAGTTTAGTGAGGTTGTTGCCTCCACCAGTAGCTCTTTATGCTTTCTGAAATGTTTTCACCTGTGTCTCCTACCTCAATTTTTATAAGAATGTATGTGTGTGGCATGGGGTCTTTCACTGTCTTTCTGTAAGAAGTCAGCTAAGGCAGGGACTCAGAAGCATCTAGAAGAGATACACTCTGCTGGTGTCATTGACCTCCCTGGGTTGGGCACAGGGAACTCACTGTACTGATGATTGTTGTTTGAGTTCACTTAAATTATATTTTAAAGAACAAGATGACCCTGGCCAGCTGGGGAAATTGAAGACATCCAGCTGGCTGACATCTGGGTCACAGCTGGACTAAATAGGTAATGAAACAGGATGTAGACGTTGTAAGAGTAATAAGTGTCTCCAAAGTCTTTTTAAGTACTTGATGGCATGCCAGTAATGCTGCAGGCTCATGTGCTCATCTCCACTGGTAGCTCTTTTAGCACATCTTCAGAGATGGTGTCCATGGCAAAAGGCAAACTTGTTGCCTCCAATAACTTTTCCTCCTGAACATGTAAACTCATACTGAAGCCACCATACC